AGATAAAGGTATTACACTGCTAGTAATAATTTCCATTGATGGTAAAGATATGATGCTATGATGTTCATGTTATATGTAGAGTAAGGTAAACGAATTACTAATACTCAAGCACAATTCCTTTCATACTCCTGATAATAATTGCACGACATTTAATTGCACGACGTTTATACTGCAGCTTGCCAGGTGGACTCTTTCACATTTCACATTGAGGTCGTATCCCCATTTCATGCTCTATATTCCTTTGACAATGTTTTTTTTTTACTCTCATGTTTTAGAAAGCACGGCAATCTGAAGTTGCTGAATATTTTCCCTGCAAGGAAATTGAGCACAGCCGCATATACAGTGCGGAATCGCGAGTCTGAGAAACAATCCCTCGGGTCTTTGTTAGCGCTTTTCCCTGTCTTTGCTCACCCCTTGTTCTCAACCTGCCAGTAGCCCCTGTGTGCCTCCCATTCCAAACCACCAGTGTACACCCATATGTCATAATGGACTGTCAGGGGAAGCGGTGTTAGGTGAAATTAGAGGTTCTATGCACAAGAGGAAAAGAAGGCATATTTTGACTTCTGAATACACAATCAGCACCGTCGGGACAATGACGTCAACTGAGCTCGCTTGTTTCTAGCTAGAAGCAATTAGTTATGAGGTGCAAGGTTTGCTGGCTTGTTCTGGTGCCCAGAGAGGAACTCTATAATTCATCAAAGGCGTGGCAGATTCCAAGCATTGTGCTGTGCTATATCTCGGCTTTTCACCCATGTGTGTCGCACGCTCCGGTGGGAAAAAAAAGATTCAAAGCTGTGATGCACAAAGCCGTCGATTTGAATCAGCTTGTTAAAGCAGAGCTCTTCAATGGCATCTTCATTCTGCATACTTTGCCGTACAGTTCCACTGGAATAAATGTCTTTATATGGAAATTTCAATCAAGCAAGAAGATGCTATTTATATTAAGTGAATAATTTTAGTGTCAAATGTAGCTTGTTTTAAGTAGGATTTTTTGTTTACGACCTTGTTTTCTTAAATGCTTATAAAAAAAAAGCACTGGCCTTTGTGACCTGATGAACAAGTTGAGTTGGTGTGTTTTTACAATTTTCTTATCTGCGAGTTGTAGTGGAGTTTTCTAAAGTTGGGGAAAAAAACCACCTCTCATTAAAGAAAATAAGGTTGACGGTCGGGTATGGTCAACGTTTATCTTGCGCTTGACAGATTGTAAATCACGCTGAGAATTGTGTTGTTAGGTATGAGTTTCCCACAGTTCTCTTGTTAATGGGACGCGGTAGGGTGCCCACTGGTGATGTGACGAGCCCAAGGCGGCAGTGTGTGAAGTGGATTGTTGTGCAGCGATAGTGAGAATGGTAGAGCACGAGCCAAGAGCCAATTACGACAAGTGGCAAATTTGCTGCTCCTTGCGTAAAGGAAATGGAAATTAAATGAGGGAGGCTGCACTACCTATCAGGCACCAGGGATAGTAGGCACATGCAAGGCCTTGTGTTTTTTTTTTTGCTATCTATGCACTCTTCAATTATACGCAGTCCCAATTTGCAGATGCCTCGTTTTATTGCAGTGGTTAGCGCACTGTAATATAAACCCAGTGATCTGTGTTTGATTCCCGGCCACAGCTGACATCGGTGGTGATATTTGAACCAGCCTGCACTGACCAGCGTGGTGAAGTAAAGTCAAACAATCCCAGTGAACGACATGGCATTGAGAGACCATCCAAAAGTGGACAAAAAAAAATGCTTATTCCTATTAATCATTAGCTATCTTTTTTTCTATATCGACACTTTAAAAATAGCAAAGTGTGCTGTAAATAAACTTTTAATCAATGATCATACATTGACTTTTGATGGTGTTTTGGTAAATCTCATGAATATTGTGATATTTCCCTTTCATAAAGTGTGAGCACTTCAATATTAATCACATGGAAGGCATATCTTTTTCCGGCTTCCTACATCGAGAAAATACAATATATCCACGTTCTCTATGTTGAGCCACCCAGTGGCATCACTTAAAATGCGAAAAATAACAATAATTATCTGGCCTTCTTATATTGGGCTCACATTCTGGTGACATGCCTATTACATTTAAAGGCTGGTGTGGAAAAAAAAGTAATTTAATGAATTTCGCTCCTAGGCTATATTTTCCCTTGAATTTAATCAAACCTTAAGCCAAAATAAAATGCAAATTATACATCTTAAGAATTAAAAAAAATGTAAACCCTTTGTCGATTTACTGCTGAACGAAGGCCTCCCCACACCAAATCCGTCATGAGCGTTTAACCATACTTCACCGCGCTGGTCAGTGTGGGTTGGTGTAGGGGTGCTCTGCACTACTTGAAACATCACTCGCCATGGCCCAGGGTCATAGTGCAGAGCGCTAACACCACACCACCACCACCATCATTCATATTAAATATATATTGAACTGTACTGTGAGCAAATTGTACCTTCTTAAAATGTATTTATATAATTATTTCTATTTAAAAAAAAATATATAGTTAAGAATGTCTCGTTTTTTACGATAAAAATAAAAACAATTTCAGAATAATAAATATGTATTGTATCACTTTATATAGGCTGACATTAAAAAAATGATTGTCATTATACCATATCATAGTTAAATAAAGGACTCCACATGGTTTTATTTTTTTTGAAGCTTTTCAACATGTGCGTGAAACAATGTTTTTAAGATAGCTGTCTGATGCATGTATGGCTTCTGGGCCATATATTTTAAATGTAATGCCAGCAATTGTATTCCCAATTACTCTTCAGTTTTCTTTCGCTGGATTGTCATGCTTCCAGCAGGGGGCTTATGCACAGCTCAAAGATGATAATTTAAAAAAAAAGGTATAAAATCAGCAGGAAACCCACATCTGTAATGTGTTAAAGCATATGGAATATATACATACTGCATTATTTTCTAAACCTTATATTTTTCTTTACAATTTGAGAAACTTAATAATTGCCAAAATTGCCATGTTTTATATAAATCAGCAAATAACAAAAACATCCTCTTTTATTTCCATGTCATGAAGTTTATATATGCATTCATCTCTCATCTTTGTAGTTTCCTACGTAAATACAAAACACATTTTCTATTAAATGTCGTTAATTCACATTAACACAAAATACCATATTTAGCACGATGTTTTAATTTCTGCTCATTCATCATTAGCCCAGTTTATTTCCAGTTCTCATACTTACACAGTAGCCACACATAAACCGATCCAGTCATCTACTGTCATGTTCAAAACACTTGGCAGGTTGAGAATTTAAATCTGGCTTCAACTCAACCCATCATAACATGGGAAGTCAACAATGGCCATCCTGGCCCTTGCCATGGGAATGTTATTTTTTTATCATTTCTGGCTCAAGGCCACCAGCAGAGATGAGCACTACCCTTTGCTCATGTTGAGCATGTATACATTTTGACCCTGACCAACAATGAGTGTTATGCTTTTTTCATATTTTAACACAATTGATGTATTTGTTAATATAATGCGATGCAATATTGTATTTGCAGTCTTTGAATTTAGCTGATGCGGCAACTTAAAAAGATATTTCATATCGTGTTATCAAAAATACGCATTTAAAATATAGATTCCTCGGAAATTATATATTTTTTACTATATTAGCATTTTAGCAGGAACTAATGAATGCACAATTGCAACATTCTTATGACGAAGCAGCCATTATTTTATAATTAATAGTAATTATCATAGTTAATTATGGCACTTTCAGCTGATTTCGAATATATTGTCCCATGACCATTTAGGTTTTAATGATATATGTTCAGAAATCTAGTCAACAACTATAATTATTTGAGACGTATAAACAACTAATGATACGATATTTAAATGCAATTATTTAATTATGAAAATGAAACAATATAAGTGATTTTATTTACTTAGAATTTCCATGCTCATTAATGTCTCGACTCATCCAAGTATTCTTATAGATAGGAATCTAATGGTGCATTGATTAATCGATTACAATAATGTATTCCCCTCACAGTACATGCTTTCAATTGTGCTCATGAAAATCCCATTATTTACAATTTATGCAAATGAAATGCAATTTGGAGATGAAATCAGCTCATGTTCAGGTTCCTAGGTGAATTTTAACGTTGCAGAACCATGAAAGATGGTAAAGGTATGAGGAGGCCTTCATCCAGTAGTGAATGTATCATGCTATGGTGATGGTAATCAGCTGATGTTGTATTTGGGCTTACAGAGTAAACAAAACTATGCAAACTAGACAATAAAATAAGTATATAAATGATGATACAGTCATCACGAGACCTTAAAATAATCCATTCTCAAAATGACCATGAATAATGACGATCCGACTCATCGGGGCAGGCAAGGGAGGGGTGATCTAATTCGTTTAAGTGTCAGTCATTGAGCCATTCAGCCAACAAGCGCCATCCACCCAGATATTCGAATATCACAAGATCGGCAAGAGTCCAGATTGATAACGTTGGGTTAAAAAGCAACTCAGACAAAATAACAATAAAATACTCCATGTGATACCATTAAGACATTGTTTCACACGGAGTTACTTTTTGTTTGGTATGATTGTGCAAAAAAATGTTTTATTATTTTTGGAGTGCTTCAATCTTTTCTGTGAACGTGCACACATAACTATCCAGTTGATGCACAAACAATACATGATTTCAACGAGCTTACATTTAAACAATGGAATTTTTTTTTTCATGTCGGAATAATTTGGACTAATTATGTGTCATACGCATCGAGGAATGCACTATGCCTAATTGCATATTTTTTGTTTTTATAATGATAAAGTAATCTTTTTTCTGTTTATATATACTTTTATTTCCCCAGGTGTAATGTTGTTTTATATTCTAAACCTACTTAACCCCAACATTGTCAGTCTGCAACTTATTCTGTCCTGTCCTGTAAATGTTCACTATTTTGTTTTACCCCAGAGAAAAAAGATGTTTCTCTAACCCAATGTTTTTTTTCCCCTTCCTTTTCATACCCGCAGATCAGCGATGATCTGTTGGTGGCCTCTGCTGAGTGTCCTACAGATGATGAGGACCTGGAAGAGTGCGATCCCAGCCCAGGTGGGTTAGGTTAGTTCATTTTTGGTGATACTTAACGTTTTTTTGTCTGTAAACAGATTTTTTATGCCCGACATCCTAAGATGTGTTAAGTGATGCCATGATATACACTGGATTCAATCACCAGTTGGTGATGTATCCATACTACCTCACTTATAAAGTACCGCTAGCATAGTTATAATTAGACAACATTAGTAATATTAAAGTTAATACATTTGTTTGTTTAGAATACTATTAGATCATGCTTAATAGAGCCCACCAGACAAGTTTAAATGTCAGTCAGCCTGTCAGTTTTATTAAATATCTGATATTTCGGCTTAAATGTTTTGCTTAGTGAACTTGACTGAAGCAGTAAATAAAGGCTTTAAACACAATTCTGAATTATACCGCATTCTTAAGCTATAGCTGAATGCAGATTCGACTCATTCAAATTGTACAATACAGTATAATTACATGATGATGCTAGATAGCACGAGAACTGCGTGATAATAAATAGATTGAATGTGATTTAATGAGCATCATGGTAGTTTAAAAAGCAGATGAGAATGATCACCACCATATTTTGACAAAATAAGGTAAGGAATGTACCGTGCACATTTTTTCCCTAGTACGATGCAAACTGCAGAACCATATAAGATCTGTGCCGATGCAATGTGTGTACATTGTAGGGTTTTAACAAGTTGATTATTTATGTTCGAAAATATACCCCCATGCATATTCCCCCTACTTTCCCACTCTCACCCACCCCCTTCTTCATGGGAGAGCATCCATCTCAATTGTAGAAACACCGCACAGAGCCAAACAAGCGAAGGCCTCCCATCACACACACACACACTTGATCACCATGGTGCATCCTGTTTTCCTCAATATATATTTGTTTAAACATTGTATGTTACCATGGTTGACATGTCCAATGTATGTCATATTCATTTAGCCATATATGTCTCATGAGTTAAACATATTTTGTGTTTGCTGTGTTTATTTGTTATCTTGTTGGTACCAATAGAGCTTCCTGAATACAAATAGCAGGATAAATATGTCATGTTGAATTATTTGGAATGTACTCCTTAAACATGTATGTTATTTCTGTAAAAAAATAACATTTGTGCATTAGAACATTAACACAGAGGGCACTACATAGGCAATACATTGGCATTACTTTCACAAACAAATGCATAATTTAAGCACCCTAGCCTAAAACATAACATTCTCTTCAATCCTCTGCACTTTTATACTGTATAGGAGCTGCCCCCCACAAGTGCTTTACTTATGTTTGAAAAATAAATCAAGCTAAAATACTGATGATTTAATTTAAATCATGCTCTCAAATGTAAAAATGTGTTTTTTTTCTCCAAGGTAGAGACATGACATTCCATCCACCACATACCTTTATAATCCAGACCAAGCTTTTACAATGAAATATAATGTAAATTAAGTTAGATCCGCATATAAAATCAATTAGCTTACGATTTTCCTTCCAACTAATCCAAATTAAATGTGGTCAGTTCACATTTGTGTTAATTGGACCAAGAATGTTACGTGGCACTGGTGTTAGTTTCATGTTATTGCTTGTCTGCTGTTTAAATCAGACGTGCAATTTTAATCTTGTACATCGTATTTACTCGATTGCAGTAAGGTCTTCAACACTTGATTGGGCTTATTGTGTGGCTTGAAGAGCTACCCTTCTCCCCATAATTTATATTTGAGTTACGCAAGAGAGTCAACATACTAACGATATGCAAACCCGTTATTCTGCTGATAGTGTATTAAACATTCACCGTTTATTTAGTGGAAATGCGTTTCTTTATTAAATAGCAATAAAGCAATATTTGATCACAAGAAATATATATGTCAATTTTTAATTTGGTTAGATTACTGAAATGCTTTAATATAATAATAGGGTTTTCCCCCTTTTTTCTGGCAACAAAACTGAAACCTTTTTTTACAAGAATTCATGTCTGCATTAACCACAATACCTGCTGACTGGTCCAATCAGTTTCAAGGACAATGCATATATTATCATAGTGTGTTTTTTGTTTGCATTTTGACTGCAGGTATTGTGGTTAATGCAGACATGAATCCTTGTTCAGTTTTGTTGCCAGAAAAAAAGGGGTAAAAACACTATTATTATATTTTGGTACTGGCAAAGGAGGTCTAATGATGCTTTAATATATTCTAGATTTGAAGCTTTCGTGACTGCAAGGATTCATACTCTTTGGGTTTTTCGGTAAAGTCACGTATGTAAAATAAAAGAAAACAACTAAATTAAATCGCGACGTTTCGGAGGCAACACAAGCTTCCGTCTTCAGGTGGAACAGACAGCAAAATTCGCTGTATCCACAATTGAACAGCTCTGGGACACACGAGATTATATACAGGTTAAGGTGGGGGGGGAAGAGCCAGGAAGGGACGTGGGTGGGGAGGGGGGGGGCTAAGTTAAGACGCCTTTTGTTATGCTGCAGGGGGTTCGGGGGAGGCCGATGGCGTGCTGCACGAGAGCAGGCACCATCCTGGTAGAAACGGAAACGGCTGTACAATTATAACCCGGCTAACGTTTAACTTGGTTGATGACATCTTTCCAAATATACAAACATAGACACAACTTCAACCGAGAGGATGGTTTCAAATTGAGCAACTTTTGGAAAGATGTCATCAACCAAGTGAAACGTTAGCTGGGTTATAATTGTACAGCCGTTTCCGTTTCTACCAGGATGGTGCCTGCTCTCGTGCAGCACGCCATCGGCCTCCCCCGAACCCCCTGCAGCATAACAAAAGGCGTCTTAACTTAGCCCCCCCCCCTCCCCACCCACGTCCCTTCCTGGCTCTTCCCCCCCCCCCCCTTAACCTGTATATAATCTCGGGTATTCCAGAGCTGTTCATTTGTGGATACAGCGAATTTTGCTGTGTCTGTTCCACCTGAAGATGGAAGCTTGTGTTGCCTCCGAAACGTCGTGATTTAATTTAGTTGTTTAATTTAATTTTTTTCCTACGTGACTTTACCGAAAAAACCAAAGAGTATGCTTTACTATAATCTAAGTCACCGACTGAAAAAAAATATCTTAATTATAATTGCACATGTTTGAAGAACTGTGCCCGATTTCTGAAGCAGTAGCAATTCAACTATGAATACATTCCATGGTTCAATCATGACATGCTTACTTTATTTTTTACACTATAATCTAGATATGTTTGTCTGCACTGGAATTTAGTTTTATTTGCTAATCATTATTTGCTAGACGTATGCAGGCTGCCTTCGTCAAACACCTTAAAAAGAAGCACCCTCTAGGCCATTTTGTCCATAATTGTGTTTTAAAATACTTCTGCAGTATTGATTTATTATTTTTTTAGAATCTACTGTTTAATTATTAAATCACGGTCCATGTCCTCATTTTGTACGGAGCATTATTGGATATACCTACTGGATGTGCTGGAAATTCTTAACGATATTGTATGAAAAGAGAATGCTATTTTTACCCAAAAACGTATATTCAGCGGATCTCCCCATGACAGTTATATACATGAGTAAAAACTAACATAACTGTCCAGCAACAACCAAAAACAATATTATAATTTTCATTGTTAAAAATAAAGAAATTCCAAGGATTGTCTTCTTATTATGCAAAAAAACTACAAGAACCCAAACTTTTAATTTAAAGCTTTCGTGACTGCAGTGATTCATATTCTTGGTTCTTTCGGTAAAGTCACGTTGAAGGGAAACAATAAAAATTTTTTATAATATATTACTAATATATATTATTTTTATTTTATTGTTTCCCTTCAACGTGACTTTCCCGAAAGAAGCAAGAATAAGAACCCAAACATTACACCAACCATATAATGTCCTTACATTATGTGCCTGTGGCTAGCTATTGTCAAGTTGCACCCGAGTCAAGAGCCGCATGGCTCACAGGGTTATACCTAATAAATGAAACTGAAGCTTAATATCGGAGTTTTAATGAGGCATGGGAAATTCTATAAAACAGCCAGTTGCTTTAAAACACGTCTAATTTCCCATGTCTACTGCATACGGTTTGCAGAAGGCAGCCTACAGTCCTGTGCTGGGTCATTGTGCATTTTGTTCTGTGCCTCGTGTTGCACGTCTGCTATTTATAAACGGTGTTTTGTACGCTTATGTTCCCAAAATGCAACTTACTACAAAGAATGCATTGGCAGCAGGGTGGTGTGATTTTATTTTTTTCTGATAACGTGCAAACGATTACTTCATGCACATATTTCAAATTTCATGAAACTTACATCAATGGGCCCTCACTGAATGTATTTTTTTTTATCTGAATCATTCATATATTGTTCTCCAAAACATACACATGAATTGTCCTGGACTGGCATATGAGCTGTTTGGTGTAATCCTTTGTGAGCTTTCCCTTTTCACATGTTTATTTGCCTGTTGCTGCAGAGTTATGCTGGGGAACTGTTTCCATTGGAAATATATAAGGATGAGTGTAATAAGAAGCTCTCTAATAACTTGTATTCGATAAAAAAAATACGAAGTCCATAAACAGAAATAAAATACTGTGATGGAGCAGTAAGCCAAATACAAGTTACTGTCAGGATGTATAATCTATTCAGTGTCAGCTTGTGATATTCACATCACACGGCCTTATGTTTACAAAGAGTAAGAAGGATTAGCTCGATAATAAGGGTGATCTCCTGTAATAACGGTAGTCAGGGTTCAACCAAGCCATTTGCAAGCAGACTTATCATTAGGTTACACTCATCCTTGGACGCATGCAAACCTCCATAACCACGTTACCATTCGTTTTAACAAATTTTTCCGCACCAATTCCCATTTATACGCTTAAATAAATTGGTAATATTAGAAGTGTCTTATTTGTATATGGAACACACCATTACACAACACATTTTTATAGTCATGGTCGCAAATCACCAGCGGTACCTTGTTAAACAGGCATGTAACGATGCATCGATTCATCGATTAGAATCGATTATTACACTCACGATCCGCACAGCGAATCGTGCGTTTAACAATCGATTATATCGCATGCGAAATGCGGCGTCAAACATAATTAAACGTGGGGGGGGGGGGGGCAACCATACAAGAAGGACGCAGGAACAATGCAAATGAGACAGTAAAAATGAAACGAACAAAACTGATTCTTGAATTGAATCGCAACCTCGGATAGTGAGAATCAATGGAATCGCTGAGGGGGGTGAATCCTTACATGCCTCAGTGTAAATGCCGGAATGTTATTAATTCCTTTTCGTTCCTGCCTGCAGGAGTAGTCGGTTCCAGTTGCCAAGAGCTGTCCCGGGAGATATTCTTCTGTCCACTAACCCAATGTTTTCCTGTCCTTTTTTTTTTGTAAATTACAAAACATTCGAAACACTTTTTTTTAGAAATAAATCGAGCTAAACCTTCAAAAAAATCCAGCTGTACATGTAGAAATATTGTATTTTGATCAGCGAATGTTAGACATAGGTTGAGCAAAACTGTTTAACTTGATTTAAACAGTCACTTTCGATTGTTATTAATAAACAAAACCCTAATACTCATACTTCACATACTTACCTTTTTTTAGAATGTAATATTGTACCACATTTTACACATTGACATTGGTTAATCACTTAACATTAAAAAAACACCTCTGAAACAGTTCCCCAAATGTGAACTCTGAGCAAGCCCACGATGAATGTTGCGCCGTGCTGCATGCATGGATAAGTTGCAGCAGGTTAGAGTTGTGTGTGTGTCTGCACTCATCCAAGCTGCACACTGCCCCCTGTCTGCTTTCCCGAGTGGGAGTGCTCATTGTCTGTGTATCTCCTTCCTTTCCTTTGACAGCAAAAAGCTCAAATGCCGGCAGGCGTCTTGGTTCACCCAACACGTGGACACGGCAAATCAGATTCATGTTCACTGCCCTCCTGCTAACCCATCATGCATTGCATGCCTAGGGGTAGTTCGGAGTACAGCAGCGCTATGTTCAGTCTAATTGTAAGCTTGTCCCACCTATCCATTGCTTCGAATGACTCCAAAGCCAAAAAAGGCTGGCATTTGCACATTGTGGACAAAAATTGAACACATGCATTTAGCCGGTGCTGCATCTATAAAACAATGATGCCTTATTGGTACAATAATTCGATTTGAAATTTTCACCCAGGAAGGCATTACTAATAACGTGTTCAGATATAATGGATTTTTTTCATGCAGAGACCAGTGTGATGCCAGTTTATTTTTATATTTACGTATGGACGTTAAAATGTATACTGTATGCCATTTCATACTCAACTTCGCAATGTTTAAACAGTTTACGAAAAGACTGTTCTTCCAAATACATTCTTATGCAACTTTCTTTTACAATATATTTTTTCTTCATGCAAAAATCATGCGGGCAATTTATTGATGTAAGTTGACTGAATTATGTGTTCAAGCTTTATTTTTTTGGACTATCGGGCTAATATTAATGTAAAAACAGTTGCCTTTTTGATAAAAAAAAACAAATTCAAGAAGTTATAGAATATGAGCTTATTAAAACCCCAATCGCCCTGCTTTGTAAATGTTTGACTTTATTTTACTTTTGTTACTTATTGTCTTTTGTAGTTTCTAGTGGCTCCTTCCTATAATTGCTTAAAAATACTTTGTTGCTACTATCAAGCTTTATATTTGTAAACTGTATTTAAATTGTTTTGATGTTGTGTGTGGTTTTTTTTTACACTCACTTTACTTACTCTTTATAGTGTGGGCCCCTCCTTCATTAGGCCTGACTACGCTTCCTCTCTTTCTGTTTCTCTCTGCAGGAGTCGATCTAGTTTACCCAGTTATAACAGAAGACCCATTAGAAACACCTCCACTAGCCACCCACACACCATTCATCCCCCCTCCCCCTACCTACCGTCCCTACTACACCGTGCTGAGCACCACCAAAGAGTCGCTGGCTCTGTCCCCTGGGGCAGCACTGCCCTGCCTCTCGGATCAGGATGATGATGACTGTACGGACAGCACTCTTGTCTCGGGCTTTGGCTCGGGGGAAAACTTTGACTCTAGCCTCCCCCCTACAGACGACGAAGATTTTGACCGTGCCAAGGGCTTTGATGGCAGCCAGAGGGCGCGTGCCCCCAAGCTCGACGCTAAAGGCTTTAGGCCACCAAGTGTGGGACGCGGTCGGAACCCCTCTGCTTCCCCTGACCATTCAGGCCCCGCCGCTACGCCCGAGATGGCGGTGCACAACCTTCCTGCTGGCAATATGAAGCCCTACCCAGACGGCGTCTTGCTCCCGTTCCCAACGGGCTTTGACAGAGAGAACCCAAAGCTCAGGAAGGCCCTTGTAACCTCGCCAATGTTCCGTAATGTGCCCACAGCTAACCCCACTGACGCCGGGCTGGGCAGGGGTGCCCCCGGCGCTCGGGAGGTCATCCGCGAGTCCAGCAGCACCACGGGGATGGTGGTGGGCATCATCGCCGCCGCTGCGCTCTGCATTCTCATCCTGCTCTACGCCATGTACAAATACCGCAACCGTGACGAGGGCTCCTACCATGTGGACGAGAGCCGCAACTACATCAGCAACTCGGCACAGACCAATGGGGCAGTGGTCAAGGAGAAGCCGACGAACAGTTCCAAAGGCTCTGGCAAGAGCAAGAAAAACAAGGAGAAAGAGTATTACGTCTAAAGGAAGGGGGACAACAGCGACACAAAAAAAAGGAAGCGAAGCCCAGAGACCGCTGGAACTCTTTATTTGGACTGCTGACGGGTGATTTTTGCGGTGATGAAATAAAGGAAAAGTGAATAATGGAAGGAATTTTAAAAGTATATAAATTATGCAGAATTTGCATCTTAAAAAAAAATGAAGATGGAACACGAGAGTCTCGGGATTGTAGGTTATACTACTCAAGAGAAAGCAAAAAAGACTTTTCTTTCCTCGACCATTATGCTTATTTGTTATTTTCTTCCTTTGCAAATGAACTGCCGTCATGGACTTATTGGTGTTCAAGAAACCAAGTGAACTTTGTCCAAAAAACTACATAATATCCCTTTAAAGTCTGTGTGTTTAATGCTTAAGCATGTAACTGGTATCTAAGGTGATCATTAAGGGGACATTTGGTGTACAAAGACATAATGATGAGAAACTGTAAATGTTCTAGTGTTGTTTCTCAGTAATGTTCCGTGCTGTTTGCATTGCTGTGTATACAAATGTCATTGTTGAAAGTTGCAAATCCTCTAAATAGATTTCTAAGTTTAAAAGAAAAAAAAATGGACAGCTTTATTCTGGAGCATTTTGCAGAACAATTGCGTATAACATGTTGAAGTTAAGTGGGTGCAAATGTTTCACAGATGCTGTTATGTTAGATAGAATTTGACAGACTGCATATTAGATGTTTCTTATATTTCTGTTAAAGATAAATATGGATTATAAATGCTCAATTGCAACCAAGCACACTGACATATCCAATAAATCATTTGAACATTTTAATGCTCAAAAGAGGTTATGATGGAGAGATTTGTATTATATATAGCCTATATATCACATTCCACAGATACTTGTGAGATACATTTGACAAATAAAATCTAATTACATTTAATGTACTTGTTCTAAAAAAGCACACTTTCCATGAAAAAAAAAATACTAATATTATTTAACTTGATTGAAAAATATAATCCAGTACAAAAACAGCACAAGGGGGAGAAAAAAAGTAAATAATTTACTTTATTTTTAATCGTTAAAATTTAAGATAACAGTTGTTTACGTACTTAAGTAGCCAGCACAAGCTATTAAGATGCACCTCTCTTTACAAGGTCAAATAAATTACTAAAAATATTGTTCTTGTCGAAGCAAACTGACTTTAGTTTTGACGCAAATCACAACTGTTTAACACCACACAGTAAATCCAGACTTGTCGCTGAAGTTCCTATATTGCATATTGCACGCACACATTGCACAAGTGCGCGGTCATAGACGCGACAAACATTTTCATTTTGTGAATACGACAAAAAAGTGTTATTAAAAAAAAATCAGTCGCACAACAAGGCCTGAACAGCTACGTGAGGAGGAGACATTTTAGGATGTTGTGCGTCATGTTATTCTGGTAGATCGCTGTCGTCTGATAGACTTCTATACCTCATTTTGTCCATTTCACGCTTACAAGTTGCAACGTTCACGGCTGGTTTTCTTGTGGCCCATGCCTTTGTTCCTCCTGAAGGTGTTGGGTGATCAGCAATGCCTCGGCTATTCTCATGTGTTGACCTGCCGAGGTGGCTTCCAAATGCCGTTTTCTGTAATACACTTTTAATATAATTACTTATACTTTTGTTTTATACTCATTTGCTCATTGTTGCAACATTTTTATTTATGTTTAGCAACTGCTTAGCAATAAAAGGGTTGTTAATCTATGTTTGCTTCTTTCCCATAACAAAAAAAAAACGCGTGACAACGTGTGCGGATAGGTATGCACAAATCGAAGGAGGCATGATCAATTATTGGCTTCTGACTGCAGATGAAATCAGATTATAAGCAAATGTCACCTGCCATATAACGCAATTTTAGCCTTTGTGATGAAATTGCATTGTTTCTTAATGAAAAGTTGCTGAAGCGGCATTGCCAGATTAATTAGAAGATGGGAACACTTTAATAGATTTTTTTTCACGAATGCTAAACTTGGTAACAATGATAAGGCTTGCATTAACGTCAGCTACTCTCATCACGATTCCAGTGGCAATTTGGTGGATATATATGCGACATCGGGATTGGTCACCACAACCGCTTTGTGAACCCAGTAGCTCTTGAACGTGTCGTACAGGGTGTAAGTTACCGTGTGTATGCTGCTTAGCAGGGTACCTTGTTAAGGTCGCCCTGTGGGCATGTGTGTGTAAGTGTGTAGATTCTGCGGGTGGTTAGCACACTGTTATGGACCCAGAAACATGAGTTTGATCCCAGCCACGGTAAACATCGAGGCGAATATTTGAACTGCTCCATTATTTGAGCTGCTTCTGACCCTCTCCCCTTGGTTGAATAGCTAGTGCAAAGTATAGTATAAACATCATAGGCGGCTGTGTGCCGCGCAGGTCTTAATTAGGTGATTCAGACTAGAACTTGCCCCACCACTGGTATTAGTTACATGAGGGGGATGTTTGTCTTTGTAAATTCGACCGGCTACGGCTTCTGTGGGCCACATCCCAAACATAACCTCCTCCCATACCCTCCTATTTAAATCGCAATGACACCACACCCTGTGTGAATATCAAATAGCCATTTCTATGATAGCGATTTAATGTAAAGTAAAACTCCAATTTAAACTAATTTGACGTGCTTGTAAACCCACCTGCACCATGCTATGGGATATGAAGGACAACTGTTATTTTTTTCCTGTTCGATGACAGTAAATGTAAAGTTGATAGTAAATAGATTGCAATTAAAATAGGTAAATCCCAACAAACATACAAAGCCCTGTTAAAACACCTGCGAGTGTATGAACTATGTCCATAGAACAGAACTGACGTGAAGTACAATTCATACATTTCTAAAGCTATTTCGGGCCATCATGGGGGACAAACATGTGCATAGAGTAAAACCGCCCTTGTGTAACAAAGTGACTGAATTGGCTTTTCATACTGCGGTGCCACGTACCCACTCGTAGTGCCACGAGGATGACGCAGGAGTAGTGAGCAAGGTGACATGTAAACCTGCTGTAAAAGCATAATGATTAAATGTAACCTCTAAAATGCATTTACCGTGATAATATTAAGGTGCAGGGAGAATAGTGGCTACCCCAACGTTCAGACTGGTGGCCAGAAATGTGCCGTACCCCCGAAAACCTCACGAATTGCCTCTTACCTTTAAAATCATTCCCATGTGTTCAAGTTTCAAGCTTATTTTGTTTAACTATGCCAACTCAAGACACCAGAATCGGAGTCTGTTTTGCAAAGTGGCCTGGATCACCAAAATAACAATCAAAACAAAGTAAAAACAATTAAGTAAATAGAAATCAGAGGGGAAAAAAAGAACTGGGTCCCCTGAAAAATAGAAATACTGCATGCGCTGCATTAACCACACGATAAAACATGAATATGATGTAATTGTGCCGATCATGGGAAAAGTGGAGTGTGTGCCTTGGGAATGTTGAGTATTTTTAGTGAACAACCGCTCTACATCACCATCTCCACCATTTCCAAAAACAAAGAAAAATATATCCCGTATAGCCTGAACAGACTATTGGGGCAAGTGCTGTTAGCGAGCACCAATGAAGGCCGACACGGCACACGAGGGGGTGGCCAAGACCGCCTTTGTCTCTCTAGTCGCAACGTTTACACATCGCACCAGGTACTCATTTGTGGCTGAGCCAACCTTACCATCTCACCATCTCCACCACCACAGCCATCAACACTATGAAAGGTAACCAAATAAAAAATATACAAAAAAAACTGAATTTGCCAATCCATTCACAGACAAATTAGGAGTAAAATTTTGATTTAAAGCTTTCGTGACTGCAAGGATTCATATTCTTGGTTTTTTCGGTAAAGTCACGTAGAAGGGAAACAATAAAATAATAAAAATATAAAACAATAAAATTCTCACGACGTTTCGACTGCAACACAAGCAATCATCATCAGGTGTGAAAACCACAACAAGAAAACTTTCTCAAGAAAACTTTCTTGTGGTTTTCACACCTGATGATGATTGCTTGTGATGCAGTCGATAGTTTTCTTGTTGTGGTTTTCACACCTGATGATGATTGCTTGTGTTGCAGTCGAAACATCGTGAGAATTTTATTGTTTTATTTTTTTATTATTGTTTCCCTTCTATTGTTTCCCTTCTACAAGTAGATTGACCAAACGTATAAATTATAAAATAAAATTTCACGAAAATTGAACTGTGGCGAATGAGTGACCAATAAGGCACCATAAGATGGTGTTGTGAGTTTAAATACCATTATTCAATGTTGCCCATTGTCCATTCAGTGTCCAGAGTATTGTACCACTGTGTGGAAGGTCATCAGTAGTTTTCCTCTGATGAGAATGATCTTTGTGATAATAACGTGGACTTGTCACCACTGTATCAGGCCCACCAATGGAGATTAACAGTGTGGGGACACTGACTTAAATCTCATCCATTACATACAGAATATTTCCAGTGAAGAGTTCACATTTTTTTAGATGTGCACAGTAATTACACTTTCAAATAAAGACCATAAATAGCATGGTGTGTGTTAAGGGGCCAACTTACACATGCTCCCTAAGCTTTTAATTATTTAAAAAAAACCCTTGGTTAATCCACTGCTGGATGAAGGTCCCCCCAACCCATTTCGTACCAGTCATGGTGGTTTTATGACCATAATTCATTCCATTGGTCAGTGCAGATAAAGTGGATTCCCAGAACCAGTTCTGATATCACTCGTCACTGATGTTAGCCATGGCCAGAAATCAAACTCAGACCACTGGGTTCATAACAAAACGTTAACCACTGCGCCACCTCTCCACCTCGAATCGTTTAGAATTGTTTATTCATTTACAAGCACCATTTGCAGACACAACCCCGAGACAAAAAATTACACTCAATATTTACTCTCCAATTCCAGTCAAGAAAAACCTCATAACTAACAATATTGATCAAACTATACATTCGTTAGTGTTGAAATAATGACATGTTGGATGTTTCTGTGGGGGAATGAACACTTTCACATACGAGGTAAGTAACAACAGACAGCTGGTGGAGGGAATATAACTTGTGAATTCATTACTATAAAGCTGTTCTGCTGGAGAAAGACTGTACTGTCCTGTATATGGACAAAGTATCAGCAATAATTCCCAGCCCTTTGTAAATCCATTGGTTGGATGAAGGCCTCCCCACACCATGTCGCCTGTTGGTTGGGGTTCTGTGACCATACTTCACTCTACTGGTCAGAGAGAGTTCGTGAAATGGGGGAGGGGAGGCATGACCAGTTCTAATGATACCCATTCACCACTGATGTTAGCCCTGGCTGGGAATTGAACTGAGTTTGTTGGGTTCGTAGCGCAGTGAACGCCACTGCCCCAACCCCAAAATAGACAGGAACATTTGAAAAAAATTGGGCAATATACATGGACTGAATTTAACAAGTAGGCTTCTGCGACCAATATGATTCATAATTGATTTTTGAGTCAGATCGCGTGAGTAAGATGTGTATTGTACACCCTCTTCCACCCGAACGTCAATTAATAAAATTGTCAAGTGAACAAATGTGCCAATTTATCACTGCTTCTGAACACTGCTTGTGTTGGAGAGCAACCCTACAACATTTAACCATTGGGTACTTTCAACAACAACAAATAAATTATGAACACGTAGACTAGTGTGAAGGAGGCAGCATTCTCAGAGTAATCACATGTGACAGCAGGCCATATTATCTTGAAGTGGGTAAAAGGGCTAGCATATCGCAGTCTGATGAGGAATGCACTGAAAAAGCTCTGCCCCCGCATGCACACCATGGTTGCTGCTGTTAAACACGACACACTACTTCTGAATCCGAATAACATAAAATAATTAGTATAATGACTATCCAGTGTAAATATAGTGTTGAATATAAAAGCACCGTTTACGCAGTCTTTTGAATCATGTAAGAAAATACTTGCCGGTGCCATTGATGTATTCAAGTCAAACTTGACTGTTTTTTAGCCGACTCAATGTGCAAGGTTTTCAAAATCTACCCCCCCCCCCCCCACTTTATATAAAGTAACATAAGAGTGAATATAAATATCAAGTACGTAGCAGTGTATGAGTGGACGTGATCTTAATATGTTCAGATTTATTTTGGGTCACGTGCACATCGCAGAATGTGCTGTTGGTGATTAAATGTCCATCGGGCTAGTGGTGAGCACAATCATTCTCATACATTCTGCGGTCTGCTATTATATTACCTGTAACAGACATCGGTAAATCAAATGGAGGCTTAGCTAACCTGTGGGTAACATGACATTGCAGACACTGAGTAAATTACAGGCAATGCCTCTTTGTATTTTAACTGTAATTTAAATAATGAAGGGAATTCATCTCACATTTCCATCATTAACCTTGGTCTATATGTTTATATTGTGCAAAGGAAATCTGAGTTAGCCAATACACTATTATTATTACAAACCGGTTTCCTTACTTTCTTCCGGCAGCAGTTACAGGATATTTCAATGGATAGAACGACGCATTATCCGTAAATTGACCAGAATAATACAAACGTTAAAACATTCACAATTTGCACAAATCTACCGATAGCCACTCAAAAAACACAGAGCACATTTAATATCAGCCACGATCAGCAGATTATTGCGTGAAATAATCCGACTGGAAATAATGTTCTTGTAGTTTAAAAAAAATGTGTGGGGAAACGTTAACACAATCCATAAGTTTATGTGTAATTTGCTGG